GCCCCTTTAAGCGCCTTTTCGCCATAGATTGACGAATGGAACTCTGAACGATGACAAGCCCTCCGAATCTAACGGATGAGCCCCTTCCAAAGTTATTGTTTGCATTTCTCCCTTCATCAAACCCGGGCTGACTTGTGCTTCTGCCTAGCTCTTTCCAACTCCAGGTAGAACCTGCTAAGATTACCACTAGGGAATTGGGACTCAAACTCGTGCCTAAAACCCAGCGTTCCCACATCTGCAAATTTCACAATCAGTCCGAAACCTGAAATAAGAATTGGATCCCCAAAGACCAGGAAAACGCCTCTATCACCATCACCTCGCACACGCACACCCACACCCCACACGAACAACCTGTTTAAGCAGGCAGGTCAGCCCAGTTTGACGAGAGTTCATCAAGAGTTCCGACCGCAATTCCCTTGTACCCTTTCCCTTGCCATGGGCTCCAACGTGTCAAAATCGGGGACCTCGTATGTTCCAGTTGCTTTCCCTTACCAACCTTTAAAAGGGTACCTCCACAAGGCCACGCATAGCCAAAGGTCAGCCCAGGCTTGAAGCGCCTGGGACCCCCTTCGACGGACAGACGCCTTCCACCGGCGTTTTTCAGGCGGAGGAGTCGGCAGCCTTTGAGCCGGTGCTGAGCCACTTCCACACAGGCCCGATCTGAAGATATTTGGGCGGCGCGACTTTTTCTAAAAGACCCCTTCCCCGTTCCCCCCTTCCCCCCCCCCCAAAAAAAAAACGAATAAGCTCAGGCGATATCCCCAACAGCACCACACCCTCCCAAAATCCGCCCCGGGACCCACCTCACCGCCGTTTTTGCTAAGGATGCCGCCTTGTAGCTTTGTAAAGCAAAGCAAAGCAAAGAGTGACAGCGCAATCGCGCCCTGATCGGGGCCCGACGGCACAATGGGGCCCGATCAGGGCCCGACGGCGCAATCGGCCGATCGGGGCCCGACGGCGCAATCGGGGCCGATCGGGGCCCGACGGTGCAATCGGGGCCCGAGCGGGGCCCGACGGTGCAATCCCACCAGCCCCAGCCAACCATATTATAGCTCAACCGGTTTTCCTTAACATGTGGCCTTACAACTGTGCCTAGCAAAACTAGGCGATGCCAGCTTGGTACAGTTGACGGGGCCCAACTGAACCGGGCCCCGATCGGGGCCCGACGGCGCAATCGGGGCCCGACCTGAGCCGCGTGAACCTCGCAAACCGTCCTCGTCGAACCCTCATCCAACTCAGTGTGAAACTTTGTTGGAACCTTTCCAGGGCTGCCCCATAGCTTTTGCAGAACCTGGTAGTTGAAAACCTCGTGGAGCGTTTTTGGAACCTTACCCGTGGAACTCTTGGAGCCCAAAGCCCACCAAGTGATACTCAGTAATGCCAAGCATTTACTCTGTCCCGCAGCAGAGTGATCTGATTTGCCGCAAAACGGTGAAAGTGTGCTGAAAACCATTGATTTCGGTTTTGCTTAGTGTTCCGCCCCTGAGCAAAGCGATCTTCTGAGCCCTCAATTTACTGCTCCGGTGACACATTGCTTCCCTCCAGGGCAAACCATGGAATGTTTTGTGGAGCTTTGTGGAGCCTTGTGGAACTCTCATGGCTCGGACCCACGCAGCCCTTGTAGAATGTGGAACCCTGCTAGAACTCTGGTGGAACCCTTATGGAACCATACCTCGCAGAACCTTGCTCCCGCGAAAATCTGGTGGAACCCGGGTGGAACCCTCGTGGAACCCTGGTGGAACCTTATTTTAAACCACCCCGGACAACCCCGTCGCAGAACCTGGTTGGTGGAACCCTCGTGGAACCCGCAGCCCTGGTAAAACTCTGGTGGAACCCTGTGGAACCCGGTGCTGGAACCCTCGTGGAACCTTACCTCAAACCACCCCGGACCAGCCCTTGCAGAACCTGGTTGGAACCCTCAAACAACCCCGCCCTTGCAGAAGCTGGTGGAACTCTGGGAACCCTGGTGGAACCCTGTCGTGGAACCCTCGTGGAACCTTACCTCAAGCCACCCCGCAGCCCTCGCAGAACCTGGTGGTTTCCCTTTTACAGTACAAGAATAAGCTCTGGTGATACCCCCAACAGCACGCGGTGCTCTTTTTAGTGCTCGCACCACCCCGCAGCCCTCGCAGAACCCTGGTGGAACCTTAGTGGAACCCTGGTGGAACCTGGTGGAACCCTCGTGGAACCTTACCTCAGCGCCGCCCCGAACCACCCCGGAGCCTATCTGGGCTGAGACCCCAAAGCTTTCAGCTGTTGGGGAAAATAACAAGGAAAGCAAGAAGAAAGAAAAGGAAGAATGGTTTTTTTCATGGATTTCCCTTTTACAGTACAAGAATAAGCTCTGGTGATACCCCCAACAGCACGCGGTGCTCTTTTTAGTGCTCGCACCACCCCGCAGCCCTCGCAGAACCCTGGTGGAACCTTAGTGGAACCCTGGTGGAACCTGGTGGAACCCTCGTGGAACCTTACCTCAGCGCCGCCCCGAACCACCCCGGAGCCTATCTGGGCTGAGACCCCAATGTTGGGGAAAAAGGGCACTACAAACAAACACACACACGCCCGGATAGTTTCTCAGAGTTTCCATTGCCACTGCTGCTAGAGGTTGGGGCTCGGTGACTTTGAGCGCCAAAATGACGCAACATTTTTTTGCTTCCTTTGAACAGCACCAAAAAAAGAAAGTCCCCCAAAAAGACAACTATAATCATGGTTGTTTTTAATTAAGTGCCCACGGAAGTACTCGCTAGACTCAGAGTTGTTATTCATTTGCTCAATAATATCGCGTTGGTTTTCCTGCTGGTTTTGAATTGCACCGAGTTTTCTTGCTGGTTTTGAATTGAACCGAATCTATCACTAGATTTGTTTTCCTTCCAGGGAACTAGGACGTTTGACTTTCCCACCACCTGCAGTAGTATAAACGTCCACGTATTCTATGTTCTTTGTTCTGCACTTTAAGAACTTGGCTAGATCTTAACGTATCTCAAAGTTCAAATGAATAGGGCCTTGTGCAGGCCTTTATGACCAACAACATGTGGTTTTGGTGTATATATATATATATCTATATGCATATATATATATATCAAGACCATCCATAACTTTGATTTTGGGCTAAATCATTATACCCAGGCTGGTAGCACCAAAGGACTCAAGTTTTGGGGCTTTGTGTTGCTCGCATCGCGCAAATGGATTCTCAACATAGGACTCGGACCTGCCATAACCACCAAAATTGGATTTCGGGTTCCCTCTGATTTCCCTTTCAACAGACCCAAGGGTAATGCTGACCCTGATGTAGAACAGTTCTGCAGGGTTCCTCTTCTTATTTGACACCCTGAACTGGAGGCCTCGGGAAATGGATTTTTGGGTTTCCATGTGGATTCCCTAACAGACTCAAAAAGGAATCCCCGGTGGCCCAGCCTTGCCGGGTTTCAGACCCCGATACACCCACTCCTTGCCGTTTCCTTCAAAAATAAGCTCAGGTGATATCCCCAACAGCATGCGGTGCTCTTTTCCCCGCAGCCCTCGCAGAACCTCGTGGAACCCTCGTGGAACCCTCGTGGAACCCTGGTGGAACCCTGGTGGAACCCTGGTGGAACCCTTGTGGAACCTTACCTCAGGGCTGCCCCGCACCACCCCGGAGCCTATCTGGGCTGAGACCCCAAAGCTTTCAGCTGTTGGGGAAAAATACAGAGAACCAGTAAGCCTCAAACACAAACAACACCGTGCGCTCCAAAATGGATTGGATTTCCGGGTTTCGGTATTTCCTTTGGTTTTCCTAAGAACAGACACGCCAAACATGCACCCAGCCTCCTCCCCCCTCCCAAACACTGAAAAAGGAAGCTCGGCACACCCCTCCATGACGCGAAAAACGTGGAAAACGGCGGGGATGGCGCGCCAGGGGCCATCCTGGGCATGGACGTGTGCATCCGGAAGCCCTTGGTGGTCACCTGCGGCATCGACAAGTCCGCGCGGGTGTGGAAGCTCCGGCCTGTTGAAGTCAGCTGCCAGTTTTGGTTGGTTGCCACCTGTCAGCGTTTTTTTTTTTTTTTTTGTTTTCTTTTTTTTTCAAGAGACGGGAAAACATGGTCAAGTTGACCCAATCTAATTTTTCCGGAGATTTTGGATGGAGCTCTCCGAACTAGGGAAGGAGCGAAACGAGCGAAACTTGTTCACATCGGGATTCGTTGCAGGTTGTCGGTGTCCATCCATTTCGGGCATTCGTCACAAGACTTGCAATTGACATGCGACCAGGTCCTTTTGTCCTGTGGTTGAGGGCCCTGTGGAGGGTTCCCCAAAATTTCAATAGGGGCCCAACTTGCCACTAAGAAGGCCTAGTAGGGGCACCTAGAATTCCTTTTCAATTTGGGATCACAGAAACTAGCTCAAAATTCTACAGAAACTGCCCCCATTCTCACTGAAATCGAGTAAAGCTTCCTGTAAGCATGAAGCTTGTGTTGTGTTCCCCGGTTCTTTGAAACAGGTGTGCTTGACTCCTCACGCCCTCCGACGTGAGAACAACTGGTCCTCCTTTTCATTTCGCAGAGGCAAGCATTACGTGGTTTTTGAAAGATTGGGTGTGCAAACATGGTTGGGAGCCATGTTTTGTCAAGATCTCCTTTCCGGCCATCACCTGCACTTCCATCCCCAGAAGGGCGTGAGTCCGGGCAGGCGTTTGATTTCTTAGCAGGGTAGACAACTGGTCAACAATCAGGGGGCCCTTTTTACCGGCATGTCGTGTAGCATCCTAGCATAGGAGCTGTTTGGGTGTCCTTTTTGGAGGGGACCCTTTTGGGGGTTTAAAGGCAAAAAGGAAAACCAATTTGGGAGGGTCGGATTCCTATAAGACACACCTTTGTTCGAACCCATTTCGGGGTACCTCAAACAACTTCCTTCGGTTTGCCCGGAGTTTCCACTGAGAATTGAATAGGGAGTCTGGACGAATGAACAGCTACCTATCCTATTTTCATAATCTTCAATCACAGGGTTCTGGACAAATTACAATTCCCAAACTGGAAAGAAGGGACCCCCCCCCATCCTCACACAGTGCAAGTGGCGCAATTTCCAATGATTCCACGGTCAATAGTCTATGGGTATCAGTGAATATAGGACCTTTATCTGGGTGCCGTACTCTCCAAAAGGCACACACCCATCCGAGCTAATCAAAGGCAATCCGCAAGAATCTTACCAAAGGGGGCAAGCGAACGTGTTTGTTTTAAGAAAACATAGGGACGGAACATCGGATCGGAGACTCCGTCAGGGCAGTTTTTTTTGTTTTCAATATTTATCATTATTATTATTATTATTATTATTAGTATTATTATTATTATTATTATTATTTATTATTATTTATTTATTATTATTATTATTATTATTATTATTATTATTATTATTATTAATTATTATTAATTATTATTATTATTATTATTATTATTATTATTATTATTATTATTATTATTATTATTTATTATTATTTATTATTTATTATTATTATTATTATTATTATTATTATTATTATTATTATTATTATTATTATTATTATTATTATTTATTATTTATTATTATTATTATTTATTATGTATTATTATTAAATATATATATATATAGATATATATATATATATATATATATAATAAGCATATTGTTTAATCATCTCGTAAAGCCAACGTTGGCTTTCCCTTGGCATTTCCATTTTGACCCTCCAAAAGTCCATGTGGCATCTTGGAACTTGAGGAAGAAGGTTCGTGTTTGGACGAGTTTCCCTAAGTGGCCATTTTTCTGGCGGGTTCCATGGCAACGTAGGAGGGTAAGGCCCTAAAAACCGAATTCCTTCATTGCCACGTTCTTTGGGCAAGTGAGTAGATGGGCATGTGGGATTGGCACCCTAAAAATCGCCAACCAGTTTGGTTTCCCTTCCCAAGTGCACAGAGGTACCAACACACGATTCAGTCTAAGATGTTGTTCCTGTTTTGGAGGTCCCAGATACTCATCTCCAGCCCTTTGGTGCGGTTTTGATTCGGAGTGGACCCCCTGGTTCTTGTAGAGCTTAAATGGGAGACCACCCAGCCACCGAACCTCCACCGAACCTCCACCGACTCGGCTCCGCCGAGCCGGAGCGGCTAAGCAAAAACGAAAACCAACTGGGAGGATCCTGATCCTGGTGAATGGTTCACCCCCCATTAAAACAATGGTTGACCCGATTTAGATGACAATCCTTAGGTAAAAAAATGACGGTGGAACAATATGAACCCCCATTTCTGAGGGTTTTTGGTATTACACCCTGGGATTACACCCTTGGGAAATGACCCAGAATGGTTCAAAATAACACGGCTTTTTCCGGTGTCTTTTTTCAGGGTGTAGTACAAGAACCCTTAGACCACTGTCTTAATGGTGGCCTGCCTGACCCCCAGCTGGAAGCTGATCCTGTCAGGGGCCTCGTTTTTGTTAGGAACTACGTGGAGAAGACCTGCGCCCTGTGCAAGTGGTTCAACGAGGAGGCCTACAGCAGCTACGTCTGTGCAGTGGTCTTCAGTTTTTGGGCTGGTTCTCCTTTTTGGGGTGATCTTCAGGGAAAGGCCAAGCACGGAACACCGAAGCCATGTTGGGGGGGGGGGGGGTCCGAGTCCGACAAAAGCCTCGTGCGCCCATGTCACGTTCCTCGCGCGCCCGCCGCGCGACGATGAAGCAGGGATACTGCTGGCCGCGAGACCAATGTTTTGGCCATCAGATACGTCGGGACCCAGAAAGGAGACCCTAGAAGAATATACATATGGATATACATATGCAAAGGCGTCTTTGTATACTTACAGAGAGATATGCATACGTGTGACAACACACACACACACAAGTACATACATGTATATCTCAAGATACATAGATGCACGATGATTATACACACCTATGTATACATATATGCGCATATATATATATATACACCCATATGCCGAGCACCTTCTCACCCCGTTGCCACCCCCCCCCCCCCGCGCCCCGGCCGAGGTATCGCGTTCCACCCTTCGGGTTTCCACCTCATCATCGGGCAGTCTGACAGGTTGCGGCTCATGAACTTGCTCATGGAGGACATGAAGACCTACAAAGACATCCCGCCGCTCGGCTCAAAGAGTTGAGAAAGGGAAGGGGTTTGGTGGTTCCGTGGTTCCTTTCTTCTTCTCTTTTTGTTTTTTTTTGGGGGGGAAGGGACCACCATTTGGTTGGTTTTAAGATGGGAAAACCAACAAGAATCCCGAAACGGTTCATTCCCATCCCTATCGCACCAGCAAACAAGGCTAAGCATTCGCCCTTGGGTCCGGCGAGTTTCCCAAAGGAGATCGGGGTGAAAAAGGTAGGCTTCCACTTTGCAAGGCTCTCTTCTTTGTTTCCCAAAGGTTTGGCTTGGCAGGGGAATCTACTTCACTTCTGGAACCAACATTTTTTTGTCAGTGGACTTATGCAAATGGAAGTAGTTGGAACTGGTTTGTGCTAGACGCAAGCGGCGAGGGGTTCTTTTAGTCTGGCTAGATATAGATGGCACTGGCTCACATGAGATTTTGAACCAGGGAAACCCGAATCCATTCTTTCGAGGCGAAGTGGAAGAACTCAATTCCTGAGTTCCGTTTTGAACTTTAGTCACTCTTTGGGATTGGACCATTCGAGCGGCAAACAAACACTTCGGCGGTTTTTTCGGTGGCCATCCGCGGGATTGCCTTTAAAAGAATCGCTTAAGTCGCCGGCCCCAACCTGGGGTCCTCCCAGAAAGTTTGAACCTGGATCGCCAGTTGCTGCTTCTTTCCATTCACCTTACACCAACCAGCAACAGTGGCTGAAAAAAACAGCAACTTGGCTATCTAGGAAGGGCCATTTATTGGGGCAAACGAGAAGTTTGGTTATCTTCCATTTGCTTAAGAATATGTTCTTTTTATTTTCCCTTGTTGGTTTTAAAGGGAATTTATCACTACTGGAGATATATTTTTCCCGGGGGTCTTAACCAAATGAAAGTTATTGGCACTCGATCGGAAGTGAGACAAACATTTGGCGCCAAGGATCAAGCAGTGCCGGGAGTGCCGCTTTAGTAACGGGGGGCAATACTTTGCAGCGGTGAACACCAACGCCACCAACGCCATCCAGGCGCGCCACGTCGGTCGGCAAGAATCAGGTTGGTAGCCTCTGTTTCCCGGCCAGTCGTGGCCCTTGGTTTTGAGTTTGTTTTACTTGGTTTAGTGGTTTTTTCCACTAACAAGTTAAGCTTTTAGCAGGGGTCTGGGAACAGCGACAAATGTGCGTGGCTCGTCTTTCTTTGGAGTTGGAAGCCTTGGGGTGGGTGAAGAGAAGCCATCTGGGAGAACCGCCCCTCAATTTCAGGGGGCTCCCCTACTTTGAGTACAACGCATCATCGCTTCGATTTGCTTCGCCTTTGGCCGGGGTGGTATGAGGCCTTCATGGTGTCAAGATCCATGGATGTTCCATTTTCGCCGCTTGGGTCTTCATTGTTCGGCCCCTTCCTACGCCATGTGTTGTGGGTTGGCTCGGTGTGAGGAGCTCGGGGAACCCGGATCTGTGGCCTTGGGAGCTCTAGAAAAGCTCCCATTTGCTGAGTGGGTACTTGTGTCTTGTCCGCTTGTTTCAAAGGGGACACCAAAAGGAAACCGCCCTGTCTTTTTTTTTGGGGGGGGGTTGCCAAAAAAGGACAAGCCCATCTGATTTCTCGTTCAACCCCGGGCAGACAGAATTCAAAAGGTTCATGGACACTGTGGTCCATGACCTGGGAACAAAGTCGTCGAGGATACGGATACCTTCGTGACTGCACTTGGTGGCACTGATCGAAAGGTAGACCTGGTAACGCGGAGAGTTTCAGTATATCTCAGTTGCCCAAAGTGGGACAAACACCACATGGAAGATTCACCCGTGTGCATGGAACTCAGTGCGGAATGAAGAATGTCAACCAACCTCTTGGATCGCCCAGTTCCATGAGTTCCATGACTCACCTTACCTTCCATTGGCTGAATCATATTCATGTGTTCCCCCATTGGTTTGATAGGAAATCGATCAATCACTGCTGGCCACATCATGTGTCCACCGTAGTAACAGTCTTTTTTTTAGTTCCACGGGACTTCGGGCAAACGGAAGCCACTCCCCGAAGTTGCGGTTCGGATTTTGGGGGGTGTCTCCCCTTCTTGTAGCATGAGGGGTGCATGGCCCCCGGGAACACCTCCAAATTCGACGAAAACGGGGTGGCCACTCCCTGCTTGGTGCCGGTGCTCAGGGAATGATGGAAGGACCCCTATACATGGTTGTTGTTGGGAAACATTTTACATTTTTGCTTATTGCGGTTTAGTGGGAAATCCCCACTTAACTGCTAAAATTCAATTTTGTTGCTCCCCTTCCAATGTCAACCAAGTAACCCTCCCCTATGGTTTCCTGGATTCAGGAATCCAGCGGTTCATTCCCAAGACCCAGGAAGATCATGCCCCACCTATCGCACCTGTAACTTCCCCGGATGGGAATGGCACCAGTACCCTTTTGACAGAATGACCGTTCCGGGTCTCAATGAACCTATTGGGAAAATGGAAACTAGGGGATTGTTTATAGGGGGGCATTCCATTTCTCATTCCCTTCTCAGCACCAGCAAGTCTTGAAAAGGCAGCTTCAGCAAATGAGCTTGTACCTTCTTTCCGAGATGGACCCACACTCACTTGCCCAACACGAATCTGGGTACTTTGGACATCTTAGAACATCATTGGTTTCCCTTGGGCTTCCGTTTGAAACCACGCCAAACAGGGTGCCCTCAGCAAAAAGACGCGCACATTGTGAACCCCTAGTTTGTTTGCAAATTAAGCCTGAGTTATGGCATTGTAGTTGAATCTCTGCATACCAGAGGGCCCAAGATGGTTTTGTGTGATTTTTTTCACTAAGTTGTGTTTGCCAAACATAGACCATAATCAACAACCATATGTGTGGTTCAGGAGTCGTTTTGATGTTCATCCAGCTCGGGCCAGAATCAAACCCCATATCCTCAACCTGTTTGGTTCGCGAGGCGCGTATGCGTTCACCCGTTCCAATGTTCCCGTGCGCACGCCTGCGTTTTTTTTCTTCCCCCCTTTTTTTTCCGGGGGGTTTCGGACGCGACGCAATCGCCAGGTGTACAAGACCTACACCTGCGAGCCAATTGAGACGCTGCGGGGCCACAACAACAAGGCGGCCGTTTCTCTTTATTCTGGGGGTAACTTCCATTTCCATTCTTTCCAGGGTTCCGGATCTTTCTAGAACACCACCAACAAACCCTGGGGAAATGGGTTTTTGAAAAGAACGATGGCTGAAAAGAATGGGGAATCAACCCCTAGATTTATGGCTATTTGGTAACGGATCCTTTGGACTCCAACTTGTATTGGACCCACAAAAAGTTAATATATATTTGTTCAGAGAGGTCAACAGCAGCCAAGTTGTTTGCGGGTCTCAAGTGGAAGCAATTTTGAGGGATTCACACAACTACTTTGCGAGGTGATTTGTTTTGAAACTACCGGAGGGGACTTTAGACGACGCAACTTTGATATGGGCTCTCTTTGTGTTGTGAGCTTTCCTTGGTTTCTCTTTGCTGCGGCCTTTTACTCTGTTGGCAAAGTAGTATTTCCGCGCTGAGCAGCAACGACCTGGATACATGAACCTCGGAGGTGTTCGGAAACCCCGAAAGGAGTACTGAGATTCCCCTGAAAAGGTCTGTCTTTTTGTGGTGGGTACCCTTTTTGGGGTTGGTTTCAAGGGAAACCTAAGGGAACACCGAAGCCATTTTGGGGGTTCACTATGTTTTAGACACGCCCATGACCCATGTCATATTTCAACCGACATTTGGAGGAGAAGAAGTTATTTTGTCGCCTTTGAAGTTGCCGGATTTATAGCCCCCCTATGGCCCTGTTCAACATTTCAGGTTTGAAACGTGGCTGGTGGTCATGGGGGTAAGGCTTATATGGGTGTGTTTCTTTCAGGGGACCCTCCCAAAACAAAAAAGAAGTGGTTTTCTTCGTGGTTTCCCTTTGAAACCCACAACAAAATGGCACCCGCAACAAAAAGGCACCCATAAAACCATCGTAACCATGCCGGTAGAATCAACCGTCAATTGGTTTTGGGCGTTGCTCAACAGAGTTTCTTAAGGCAGGCCCATTTTTCTTCTGGGGGCCCAGACGCGCTCGCCGAACATTTTGGGGGCAGGCTCACACTGCATCAGAGGTTCCTAAAAGATTCACCTGAATCAGAATAACCGAAAGCATCTTTGAGTAGACAATTGGTAAAAAGGGGCCTCTTGTTTTGTTTTTGGCATAAACCCTCGGAAAAGGTCTCTCTGCATCAGTCTTTCTATAGCTTTCTAACTTCATCCAATATGTTTGACCTCGTTTTCGATTCCTCTTTGTCTGCTCGTCTTGAACAGTTTCCCAGGTCTTCTTGGTAAGTCATTTTGACCGCTCACTCGTTTCCATGGAACATTGACCACGGAAAACCGAACCGGAGGACTCCGAAAGCGCCTGGACCCTGCTTAATGCATTCGCCATAGGTGTCCTTTTTAGTTTAGTTTCAACTCGCGGGGAACAAAGCAAGTCTTCCTTTGCCCAAAAAAGCCTGGAAATCAAAAAGGTGATCATCTTTCGGGACCTGGACTAAACATGGGACAAACGGGAAATGAAACGATCGAAATTCAGGTGCCAAATCAGGCTAGTTTCAGGTCCCGAAAGGTTTAACATTGTTTTCAGGTTCAACTCGTTGGATCAGGTTTCCCCAAATTGGTGGTTTGGATGGCTGGTTTGGGGATTTGATCCCTTGGTTCTTGTAGAGCGCAGACGGGAAACCCCTCCATTTCGCCACCAGGCCACCAATCCCAAATCACCCATTGGAGAGAAGCGGAACATGTTTCGACACAACGACGAGCCGACCAACACGACGCGAACAAGGGTTCAACCCCCAGAACCCTTCGCTACGCTTTCAGGAAAAATATATATATATATATATATAACAGCTGAACAGGCTAAGAAAGCAGTTCCTCATGGCGGGCTTTTCTCCAACGCGTCAAAAGCGACGCAGCGCTCGCTACAGTCGACTTCGAAGCAAGCACTTCGGGCGAGGTGCGCTCGGTGGCCTGGACGGCGGACGACTCCATGCTGGTCTCCACGGGGGCGGATGGGGCGGTCTACGAGTACTACGCGGCTCGGAGGAAAAGAAAACGGGAAAATCCGCGCGGGACGGTTCCGGGGTGCAAAAGCTGGGGTGGGAAGGGCGTTCTCTGAGCTTCCTTCCCATAGGCGTCGTTTTTTGGTCAGTTTGGCAGTTTGGTTAAAAGTAGATGGGTTCCCATGGTTTGGATGGGTTTTTATGCCCCATTTACAAGGGAGCGCCATCTATTCCAAAAGGTCACCTACGAATGCGAACTTCCTTCCACTTACTTCAGTGTAGAGTTTTTGAAGCGTTGCCCAAATCGACACACCTGAAATGATCTTTTGGTTTTCACATGTGCCCCATGTTTAGTCAAGGTCCCGAAAGTTGATCACCTTTGATTTCCAGGTTCTTTGGGCAACTGAGGAAGACTTGTTGTTTTCGCCTCTGGGCATTAATGTGAATCTATATTTATTATTTCCAAGAACCTTACGCAAATGGACAATTCGGATGAATGCGTACAAATCAGGGGATCCTCTGTAGTAAGTGGATCAAATTTCGGCGTGCCTCAGACTCGGGTCGGGCAGTAGACTCCAAATCCCCTCCTAGGAAACATCAGGCCTGAACGAGGCCGTAGGCTAAGGTCTTATGATATTGGTTGCGGTCTGTAAGGGCGGGGTTGGTCCAAGTTGCAGCGCTTGTTTGAGCAACGAGAGCCGATTCGGCCCTCTTGAAGTTAAGCCAGAAGGAGTGGGTTTGAGCAGTGGTTGCTTAAACAAACAAGAGGGACAGAGAACGCTGGGTGAACAGAATGGCGACCAATGAGAGTTCAAAGGCATATACCACGTATTTTGTCATATACCACCTTGGTGAAACCATACCCCTGTGTACGGGCGATATAAGCTTCCACGACTCCGAAGGCTACCCAGCTTCGGGTACCAAATAAGAGGCTCGTTAGACAATCGACAAAAACAAGCACCCGCAAGGGGCCCGCAAGGTACCTGAAATTCGAAGCAACGAATGGACTACGTACCCTTTTTCCATTCTCAGCTGGATCTGTTTTTTAGAATGTACCAGTACGAAACAACAGGGTTCCGCAAGAGGTGACAAACTCGTTCGTGTTTACGTTTGTCTTTTTTGAGGCTCAGTACCCGTTCTGGGATTGGTTTAAAGTTGACAGAGAAGCCAAAGGGAAAGCGCCGAGAAATATACAGAGAAATATATGGCCGTGGGTCAAACATGTGTGCCCAAACTGGCTTGCCCTGGTAAATGGAAATAAGGACTAAACCAGCGGTCCCCTAGTGGTTCAATTTTGACCCATGACCATATATATATATATATATGGTACCCCCCCCTGGAATACGCAGGTGTTTGGACAGAAATTGTCATTTTGGCTGTAAACATGCATGCAAAACACACGTTCCGGCTTCTAACATGAGGCTCTAAAAAATGCACTCTTTTTTAGACTTAAATTCTAGCATCGGTACTTAGTGCAATCCAGGATGTGCTAGCATGTGCTAGCACATCCTGGATTGAAGATTCAAGATAGATTCTCAGACCACTGCTATGTGCTAGCACGTGCTAGCACATACCAGTTTGTCCTCAGGACGGATTGAAGATTTCCAGAACAAGTGGTCTGAGAATCTTCAATCTTCAATCTTCAATCCAGGATGTGCTAGCACGTGCTAGCACATCCTGGATTACTCTAAGTACATATTTGGAGAATTTCAGAAAGACTTGTCAGAGGATCTTCAATCTCCCATCCAGATCCTGGATTGCCTCAAGTGCGGATTTGAAGAATCCAAAAGGCAGACCGGGAGTGCACGTTGTCAGAATCAAAATGTGGATGTGCACTGGCACTGCCTGCAATTGGCCAGGGGGAAAAATGTTGCTGACACCTTTACAGTTTTTTTTTGGACTTGAGGGCTGGCCAGGATGGAAGATTCTCAAATAGAAAATCTGGTAGTTCTTCAATCTTCAATGCAGGGGGCGAAACCTTAATGAGTCTAGAACAAACTGTCAAGTTTTTGGGGACCAGGATTGAGTATATTCTAAACATATGTTTGTGGAATCTTGTATATTCGATCTTCAATCCAGGGCAACGCGATCTGAGCAAATGCTGAACAACACTGCGTTTTACAGCATTTATGCAAAGAATAAGATCTATGATTGACAACACGTTCCTGTCATTGGCTTGGCTCAGTTCTTGCTTGGTTCAAACCACATGGAGTTCGATAAGGACAATAACCCTTTCAAAATTGAGTTTGATTGCAAATTCATTTGGCCATGACAATAGCTATCTTCTCCAGTTGCTTTTTGAAATGCACAAGAAACTGCAAACGAGTAAACTTGAATTTGGTTTGAACTCGATAGTTTTTTTAGCTGGATATTCTTCCCTTACTTGAATTTCAATACTTGTTCTTGGCGATGATGGAACCAACTTAGACAGGCAACACACACACACACGTGGGATAGTTGCTTTGCAACATATGTTTCAATTAGACTGAACTAGCATGTCAGGACTTATGCACACCACTCGAGTTAGCATGTAAATGCAACTGCGCAAGGACATGAATTAGGAATGAGTTCCTTTTCCCCGAGTTGATGTTTTGCTGAATTTCGCTGCCAAACAAAAATAAAGAACACCACATAATAGGGCTGCTACAGGCGCGTTGAAGCTGCCAAAACATACTTCGCATTACTCCTGTACTGAACAGTTGTGTTTTTTGAGCTGGAGCTGCCAAGTTGCACTTTGCATACTCCAATGTGACTTTAAGTGCACTTCGCGCACGCCAAAGTGACGCTCACACAACTCGTAACTCCTAATCAACGTTGAGCTTACCTTCTGCTTGGTTACAATTTGCATGGAGTTGAGTGTCCAGTTCATTTCAGAGTCTCAAGGGATTTGTCACCCCCAGTCTGGCCAAACACCTCAGTTCTGCCCAAAAACCTGAGTATTTCAAGGGGGGGGTAGCATATATATATATATGTATCATACATATATATATATATATATGTGTGTGTGTTTTCAGCGAACCCTTTTTGGGAGAAGCAACATGGAAACCACCCCTGTTTATCGCCTGAAGCGATTCAGGTGCAGGCGGAGACGATCCCGGGGCGCGACGGCAGACGTGTGGGCAACGACTTCGTACAGCCCCTCGGGCCGAAAGACAGCTTTCGTTTGGGGGGGGGGGGGGGCTTTCTTTTTTTTTTTTTTTGGGGGGGGGGGGAGATTTGTTTTTTTTGAGGGGTGGGGGGGGGGCTTTCTTTCTTGGGGATTTGTTTTTTCCGTGGCCACTGGTCCAAATAAGACCCTAAGGGTGTTGGGCTTTTATTTCCTCCGTTACTAGGGTTCCTGAAAAAGCAACTGGTAGACGAATTGTACAAACCACCTTCCTACGGGAGATTCCGCTGCAGAACATTCTACAGGAAATCCTTGGTTTTTGATGGGGCCGCTTTGCTCTAGAAATTGCGGAGAGTTTCTATGAGCCTTGCATAGCCTTTCTAGGGTTGCTGTCTGGAAGTGGCATACAAACAGTGTGGTCGCTTTTGGGCCATTCACCAAATCTCTTTTCGCGGTCCGCGATCACCCTAAAGAGCACTCCGAGTATCTGCGACCCTCGCCCCGAAATTTGGGCCAGCTGTAGGGAGGTTTAGGGGCGCCTGCTGTGGGTTTAGGTTTGGGGCTTGGGTTTAGTGCTCAAGGCGGTTGGGGTTTTGGTTTCGGCTTTGGGGGTGAGGGGTTGTTCAGGTTTAGGTTCAAGTTGTTTGGGTTTATAGGGTCAGGTTCGGGTGCTTAGGGTTTAGGCTTTCCGGGGTTTGAGTTTAGGAGATAGGAGTCAGGTTTAGGTGCATGAAGGTGGCTGCGTTCACAGATGGATGGAGCATACTTTGTTTCGCAACTACAAGCACAATTCTCGCCCTTGGGTGCGCTCTCGGTTTCCTGAGTTTGCAAGTTTGGGAACCAGGCCCCTGATCGGAGCTGACCGCAGATCGCAAGGATTGGCCGCAAAACTAGCTCTCCCTGAAAGGAACAATCTCATTTATGATGCAGACCCTCTACTTCAGGACTCTTTACGTACTTAATTGAGCTTTGTAAATCACAGTCATTGATCAGTACCAAGCCAGACCCGTCACTCACTCCCTGAGTTTATGGACCTTATACTTTTTGGGTCGGGATTATTCAATCGTAAACACACATGCAAGACTTTCTGTTTTTGCCAACACACTCGGTTTCATGGTGGTTTTAGTAAAGCCAATATAAACCTTTGTCACAAAGCTCTGAGAAATCATCTCCTGAAAAGCACCTCCTGGAAATTAGCCAAACCACCCCCACAACAAGCCACCAGTTTGGTTTGTTTTGAAATATTTTCCTGGTTTGATGGTTTCTTAGAACAGCCTTTTTGTGCCCCTCTTGGCCGCATCGGTGCGGGAAACGGCGGTGATTTCAGCTGAGGAAGGGGACCTCCTTCAGCAGTGTGATCGTGCACACGGACCTCGCAACCGGCGCCAACACCATGCGCCCTGAATCAAACGCAAATCCCTTTTTGGGGACCAAAAGGACTTGTTATGCGCAGCCCTACATTTCGTTGTGCCAACAAAAAACATGTTTGATTTTTGTTTTGTACGGAAAACAGTCGGTTTTACGGGATATCATTTGAGTGTCGCCTTGTTGAAGGGTACACTTGTTGGGTTGTTCTTGGGAGAAACCAGACGGACACCTACAATTTTGAGGATTCCATATCCCATGTGGAGACGAACTGGTTTTTTGAAGCTTGACTGCTCCCAAACCATGCCCACCTCCCCCCCCGCAAGGGAAAACGAGATACCTAAGCATGCAGGCAGCTTAGCGCGTGGGCGGCAACTGCGGTAGTACTCGACTTAGGGGACTTCTCACAGGGGTAAAGAGGCTGCAACCAGGCTTCGCTTTTGCATTCCGACACTCTCACATGCACCAACCTCTCACAGAGTAGCCTGCTCCTGAAGTTCTGTTACTCCCTGAGTTCAATTTGGCTGTGGGTCAAAAATAGGTACCCACAATGGAACCCTGGTAAGAGCAAACATGGACTAACATCTGCGGTCCCCTGGTTGAAGCTTGTTGGGTAGTGGTAAATAGCAAACAATTTGGACCTCTTTTTGGCAAATGGATTGGATGGGAAGTGAGGCGGCCGTGAATCTTAATAGGGAACCATCTCAAAATTGGTTGGTGGACGTGCATCCCCACCGAAATGATGTCCATCCAACAGTTCCCTCATGAAAAATAGCGCTCGACATTCTCCTCCCCTGCAAAATCGAATTGGGTGAATCCTGGGTTTCCGAATTTTCTTTATGGGAAAGACTAGAATGGGATTGCGGATTCCCCGGCCCCTTCGAGGTAGGATGTGGGGGATCATCCAGCCAGGTACGTCGTGGGCAGCGACCAGATGCTGCGAGAGGTCTGCCAAGGCACAGCAGGGGGGGGAGGCTTATGGTGATTTTGTTTGGAATCTCCTCAGATTTGTTTGTACGGATCAGGGGACGATGCCATTTCGGTTGGGGGAGGGGGTGGGATTCCCCTCAAATTCCATTTCTTCCATTTTGCTTTAGGGACGACACTCTGCAGTTCCCTGCCTCTTTAGGTGGGATAGACCAAGCAAATCCCCTTTGCGCTCCAGCATCTTCGGGAGGTCAAACAGAACTTGCCAGGTGTGTCTTAAGCTTGGACGGCTTTCCTTTATCCGTTTCCTTTGTTTTGGTGGGAGTTCCCTTTTCCCTTCTCTCCGCTCTTCCTGCCTTTTCGTTTTTCGCTTTGCTCGTTGTCCCAAGCAGCTAAACGGTGCCAACCCACGCAAGGTCACCGGTTGCCAGTCGCCAACCAACGCGGCGTTTCGCGCTGCGCGCGCGAGCACGCGACGCCCGGAAACCGCGTGAGGGCAGACGCAGAACGTGGTGAAGGCCAACACCACGCTGGGGCAGCGGCTCGATCAAAACTATTGGAAGGCCCAGGGCGTCAACCAGACAGGCGTGTGTGTGTGTGTGTGTGTGGTTTTTGAGTGCACCATGTTTGGGTGGTGTTAAAGGGAAAACACCTGAATTCCATTGGGGGGAGGGTCCCCGAATCAAAGACGCGCAAGGGCCTCCGGTGCAATAAGAAGGTCATTGGAGTCTCAGAAATTATCATTGCTGAGTTGGGTTCGATGAATAGCAACCATATTTCCCTTTCATTTCCCAAAGGAAACCACCGGGGATGGGACATTTCTTAGTTGTCCTGAGCCTGTCAGCCAGGGGGCCGTGCTTTTTCTTTTAAACTTACTGGGGGAGTCGGGGTAGTTTTTGGCAACAAGTGAAGCAAACAGTCATGTTTTTTTTGAAGGCCTACTCCGGAGGGGAATACCATCTTACAGGACCCGCTATAACACAATGGGGTTATGAATGTCCTGGTTCGAGATTGGCGCGTTCTCAAATTCGAGGTTCAAGATAGCAGGTGGGGTAGGTTTTTTTGCTTGGCAATGTGCACCCAGAGAGTCTCCAAGACTAAAACCCCTTCCCGAGGACAACTTCTCCAGGTGCATCAGAACCCTAACTCATTAGCCGGTGATTGGAAGGGAGCCGGACTCTGAGCAGGATACAGTATCCAAGTTGGTGTTGTAAGGAGGAGCCGTTTCAGAGCTGCTCAAACTTTTTGCAAGGACATGCTGTAAACCGACTCATGGGATAGCTTTGGCAGTTTGACTAAAAAAGGGTCAGGAGCCCGGGCCGCAGGGTCCGAAGCAAGCGCGAAGTGTAGATGGCACAAGTCCCGGTGGATGTCGGGAAAGGGGATGCCGGAATGGTGCCAGTAGTTTTGCGGGCAACTATACTTCTGCCTTTGTCTGGAAATGAGAGTCAGTGGGAATTCGATTCGGCTTGCGACTTCCTTGATCAAGACATTTGCTCGGAGAAGCTTGCAAAACTGTACGTACGCAAAACTTGGCGAGTGAATTTGGTTACTTTCGGGAAACCGTTTTTTTTTTTTTTTAAATACATATCAACTGCTGGATGAATCAATAGATACATTCTTCCATTTGCTTAAGAATATTTTTCCCCCTTGTTGGTTTTAAAAGGAACTTATCACTACTGGACATATTTGTGTTCTTTCCAACCAGATCAACCCGGGCCCCCCTCCCCCTAAGCTATGGGGGATGTCTCCACTGACCCCCTTGTTTAGTGGCTCAAAGGGAAACAACAAAGAAGTCCACCTGCTTGTTTTTGGGGGCAGGGTAACGGGTCCCCTAAGAGATCAACACGCCCAAATATGTCCCTTCCTTGGTGCTTGTTAAATCTAAAACATCAGCTTTTGACCGAGAGTGAGTTTTCCTTGGAAGACTTGGCACTGCCTTGGCACCCCATTTTTTTGGCCAACAAAGTGAGTTTCCCTTCTTGGCACCCCACTTTTTTGGCCAACAAAGTGAGTTTCCCTTAGAAAGACGACTTCCAAAATGAGGGTTCCTTAAAAACATACTTTTCCCTTTAAACAAAAAAAACAAGAAACATAAAAAGACAAAACGCCGCCCAAAGCGGCCTCGACGCCCCCTGCCTGACGCGATCCCCCGAGGATCGTCTTGGCGAACTCCGCGAAGAGTTTGTTCGCCGCGGTGGCGGAGCCGGACGCGCCGGGGCCCATTCGGTGCTACAAGTTCCCGCTGGACGGCGCCATGGATGGAAGAAACGCGTCGTTTCGGTCGCATGGGTGTCCTTTTTGGTTTACCTGGATTGTGGAAATCCAGGTGTCCTTTTTGGTGAAAAAAATCTGATGGCCCTGGTGTACCTGGTGGTTGAATCATCTACCAGGGCCATCTATTTGCCCTAAACGGAAGCCAAAGGCCAGTTTGGAGGTGGTTCTACTTTTGGTTTCATAGGGGTTGTAGTGGTTTTTCTAATTGCTTTGTATGGGTCGTGGGTTAAAGCCTGGCTGGTTGCATTCGTTGAAGTGGCCGGACAACCAGACCCTGGCTCTGAAACAGGATTGGCTAAAATATGTTAAAAGGGGGCGGCCTAAGCCAGGGAGGCGGGAGAACAGGGAATCAATTGGTGGTTTGAAATTGTGTTTTATTTGAACCCGTGGTTCTTGAGGGGTTGGGTTTGGAGGCCAAGTCCTTGGTTTAAAACCTGCCTCTTCGACCTCCTGTTTCTCCGCTCATTCGTCGGGTGTAGGCCCCCAGTTGGTGCTTCTCAAGGTCATAGGTTTCCTGTTGGTTTCCCTTTATTCATTTCCTTTTTGTTTTTTCCCCAAATAGCTGAAAGCTTTAGGGGTTCTACCTTCAAGTAAAGGAGGGGTGGGTGAGACTCAGAATTCCGGCCAGGTGCTGTTGCAAGGGTGCTGAAGCGTGCTGAGGGCCGAGACTCAGAGTTGCGCAGGGTGCTGCACGGCGCTGCTGCAGGCCGAGACTAGAGTTGCGCAGGGTGCTGCAGGGCGCCGCTGTGGGCCGAGAGTCAGAGTTGCGCAGCATGCTGTTGCAGGGTGCTGCTGCAGGTGCTGGGGTGGTGTTGCAGGGTGCTTTCGCAGGGTGCTGCTGCAGGCAGGGTGTTGCGCAGGGTGCTGCTGCAGGCTGCTGCAGGCGGCTGCTGCAATGCCGAGACGCAGAGGTGCGCAGGGGCCGTTGCAAGGTTCTGCTGCAACATCTGGGGTGATGTTGCAGGGTGCTGTCGCAGGGAGGCAAGCCGAGGCTCAGAGCTGCGGAGGGTTCCGTTGCAGGGTGCTGCAGCAGGGTGCTGTTGCAGGATGCTGCTGCAAAGTGCTGTTGTAGAGTGCTGTCGCACGGCAGGGTGCTGCCCCGGGCCGAGAGACAGAGTTGCGCAAGGTGCTGCTGTAAGGTAACTCTGCAGGCCGACACTTAGAGTTGCGCATGCTACTTCAGGGTGTTGCAGGTTGCTGCAGGCCGAGACTCAGAGTTGCACAGCAGCCGTAGTCTTCCCACAGTCTTCCCGGAGCGCTCGCTGTCTTCTGGCTATCATTTTTGCGTTGGCGAAGCCATTTGAGCGACGCGTTAGTCAAATCCACTAAAACATCCACTCTAAGAAGCGGCGCGTTTAAACAAATCCATGTTGGTGAGAGCGAGTGCCACTGTTGCGACATTCGCTCTGCCCGGCACGTCAAAATCCACCAAAACTCGGGCATGTCAGTGCCAATACTGCAATGTTATCTACGCAGGCTTTCGGCAAGCGAACTGCCGAAGCACTCTGAACGGGCATCCTTAGTTCGTTGGCTGACACCACTCTCTCGCTATCTGGGGTCTATGCTGGTATAATTTGAGAAACACACAGTTGATGTTCCAAATGTTGGGGGCCAACCTAGCTGAGTTTCCAAAAGAATAATATTTCTATTTATGTACACATACCCTGCAACCAACTAGCATGGAACCTGACAGGGGGAAGACCTGGTCAGGTTCCATGTTAGTTGGTGGGCGGAACCTGTCCGTGCCTCGGAGCCCCACACCCGGAGTTGGTCCTTGGACCTCGTAGCTGTCAGTGAGTTGCTTGATTCGTCCCGTTTTTTTTGAAAGAGTTCCCCTTGAAAACCAACCAACAAGCGGCCACGGCCTTTTTTCCCAATAGATCATTGTGGGGCTCGAACCATGGCTTCTGAATCCGGGCAAAAGGATGCGTTTTTTTGTTTGGAGGGGGGGTCTTTTTTTCCGAAGCTCAAACAAGCAAACCACAATAGACAACCAGTGCGGGGTCCTCTGGTTTCCAGATTGAATTTTCGGAAGTCTCAGTAGAGTAGGCCTTTTGACCTCCGAGAAGTGAGTTTTCATGTAAGTGAGTTTTCATGTGGCTGCTGAAACTCGGACTCCGCAAATGGTATTGTAAACAAACAGATTGACATTTAGATCTCATTTTGAGCCATATTGCGACCTGAACTCACTCAAGATCCTGGAATTTAGAATTACCTTTTGGGTCTGGATCATGTGGCATGTGGCGAACAGACAGTTCGAATTGGCCAATCGGCCAATCAATCCACTCGAGAGGTGCGTTAACGTCATTGTAGCATATGAAAGCCCAAGCTTAACCGAGTATCGGAAGGACGACTCGGGAAAGAGACTTAAGTCAACCAAGCAAAGGGTGTAATGGTTGTAATTGTTTGCACTCCCTGTAGTTCTTTGCACTTGTTTTGATTGCTCTTTCCGGTGGTCTTTCCTTTGAAAGTCAACCACCAAACAAAAGGATCCTTTAATGTTGTCCCTGGATCGATTTAGAACCCGTCCTATTAGTGGATGTGATGAATCCCCATCCAAAGACACCCCTAATAAACTGTGGTTGATCAAACCCGGGGTTTCGGTGGGCCCTTTCCGCCCAGGATCGGCCCCCCTGGTTCGTGGTTAGGATCGGTGGTTTGGGGATGTGACCCCCTGGTTCTTGCAGAGGGCCAAACTATCAAATCAAAACAATTGGGCTAGCCAAAGCAAAGGGGCCGCGTCACTCCGAGAGAGTCTACTTAATTAAAGGGCATTGTACTTAGTAAGTGGTTATTAAGCCTGGCTATAGCCCACTCAGGAGACTAATAACAATGTTAAGTGGGTTATAACCAGGCCTAACCACTTACTTGGTACAGTGTCCCTTTAACTTCCATTTTCTCAAGGTTTCTTAATTTCCTTGTTGGTTTTAAAATGAGTTTATCACTACTTTTTTTTTCCAGGGGTCTTAACCAAATTGAAGTTAAGTAGGTCCAACGGCTGGGTGTGGCTGCCGTTGGTTTCCGCCGCTCCTTTTGGAGAGGCTACTACAACGAGTTCTCGGCGCACGCTGCGCCGGCCACCCGGATCCGCATCACCTTCGATGACTACTACCTCTTCTCCACAGCGGAGGCAGCGGGGAAAGCGGGGAAAGCGGGAGCTCGAGATCGGGGTCGTCTTTTGAGTCGGCCACCCAAGGCGATAGGGAACCGTTTCGGAGCTGCATGCAAATTGGTCTTTCAAGAGGGAGCCAAGGAGCTACCAGGAGTTCTGCGAGGACATGCCGGTTAAAGGAGAACAAGAGGAACACCATCAAACTTTGTTGTCGCCTATGTTGAGAACGCATGGGTCGAGACCGGTCTACTTTGGAACATGGGGATGACCCCAAACATTGTGGTTTTTCTTTTGGTTTCAATTTTTAAAGGGTGAAAAGGTTGCCCTCCAAAAACCTCTCCATCCGGAGTCTCCATGACCCCTGAAAAAAGAGAGTCATGTCTTGTCGACCCCGGATGAATAATCCCTGGTTCACTGTTGCAAGGGTGTCCCATTCCAGAGGGAATGCTTCACTTTTAGGCACACCATTTTCTGGTTCATCCGCGTTGACTAATCTGGGGTCGGTGAGGCCTAAATTTATTTCATGTCGGAAAGGCATGGGTGGTTTGTTGTTTGCTGCTTGTTGCCTGGGCAAATGAGGGTTCTCGAATTCAACTCAACGAGTCTTTCAAGGTCCATTTATCCGTGCCAAATGACATACCAGGCCTGTATGGGTTTCCATGCGCTCGTATGTTCTAAGTATCTAGTTGAAAGGGGTACCTATTTTGGGCACGTACCCCTCGCAAGCAGGAGCTCAAAATCAAAGCTTGGTTCAACCCTTAGAAGACGTGGATGTCAATGCGACTGTCTCGTCAGCCGAATGGGGCGCCGACTAAAATATGTGTCAGCCGCTGTGGGCCGTGTTCCTCACCGGGTCAACGCTTAGTTGAGTCTTACATTTGCGATAGGAAGATTGACAACATTAAACATGGACCAGATATTGGGTTTCTAGATCGGAGGGCACACCATGGTGACAGAATGGCGATTTCCCTTTTGACTTGTCCTTTGAAACCAACCTGAAAATGGCACCAACTCCCAAGACTCCAACTGAGCCACAATCAAAACCCGGTAGACGAAGCTTAGTAAAGGACGATCCCAATCATAAATAGCTGCGGATATCCGCCTTCTTAATTCTTGAAGCATGGTTCTGGGATTACGACCAAAGTAAAGTACCGGGTTTTGAGCAAGTGACTCAACTTGGCTTGCAATGAATGGCTTGGAAACTTGGAACCTGCTAAATCAGGGTTGTGGGATCAAGGGGTTTTCCCCACTTCTGTGATACAAGGGAATCCCCCTTTTATGAAGAAAACAGTCTTTGGGGAGCCCTTTCTGTTGTATCACAGAAGTGGATTCCATTCCCCACAGCCCTGTGCTAAATTGATCCATCTTGAGCCCGGCGAAGTGAGGTTTCGTCTGGTGGCTCAGTGGATGCCCCTTTGGGGCTTCGTTGTGTCACTGTGTCCGAGCCGTTTCCCTTTAAAGGGAACCTCGGAACCTCCAAAGGTTGCACTTTCAATGGACACCAGCACGTTGACCAACTTTTGATGCGGAAATCCAGTACCTCAGGACGAATGGGAAACCATCAATTCCTGAGTTTCGCAAGAGACAACCCCAAGTCTTCTGCTCATTCGCTTCGTCGATGGGAAGCTAGGTCCCCCAGCTAAGTGCCCTTCTCTACCAACTTTTTTGGTTGGGAGGGGGAACCTCCTACTAAAACAGACTGCAGAAAAAAGAAACGGTACCCTTATTCCAACCTCTCTACTAGAAAACCTAGTAGATCCGTGATCCCGCCGCCGGATTCTGTTCGGTACTCGTCTAGCCGGATTCGTCTCCTGAATGTAGGGCGAGCATTCGTTCGGCGAGCATCTTTTCGTTTCGGAGGATGGCACTCTCTTTGTCTTCGACGTGAAGCGGAAAGACCGGAACATGTCCAAGCGCGACAAGGATGGGGCATGTGAGCAGCGCCCAAAACCGATTCCGGTTGGCCAGTTTAAGTGGTTCGACTACCTGCTCCTATGGTGCAGGGGAAGCTTCCCTTCTTTTCAGGAACCACCAAACACACAGTGGAGCTGGTGTTTGAAAAGAAGGATGGGGGGGGTTGAGCAAAATTTGTGAATCAACCTCTTTTTGAGGCCTGTACAACCCCTTTTTGAGGCCTGCATAGATCTTGATGATCATATATGCATGTTACCAGGGCTGCTCTTTTCTTGTTGTGGTGCCAACTTGGCCTTCAGATCCCGAAAGCCCCAGCAAGGAGATGAGAGGCCTCAGAGCGGTGCAGTGCTGTGGTGAGCTTTGTGCCCTCTGGTTTTGAAGGGGGGAAATCTTGACTGCTATTGGGCAACGGATCTTTAGACTTGAGAACTGTTTGGTTGGAATCAAGTTGGGTTTTCCACTAAACCCCCAAAAAGTTCTTAACTTTGTGCAGGGGGGTCAACAGCAACCAAGAAATCCTTAACAATTAAAATTGGCGGAGGGGGGTGACCCCTGCACTTCCATTTGCAGTTCCATCGTCCCGTTTGGGAATACTGGAAGACTAGATACATGGCAAATGGGGTCCCCCACCTTAAGGTAGGGGGATGGTTTCCCTTTAGAATCAAGTGCCAACAAAGCGAAGAGTGGCCTATTTCCCATGGCCACAGGGAGTCTGCGGATAAACTAGGGATGAAAGCGGTCCACTTAGACCATGTTCCATAGGGCAACCCGGAGCAAGCCCAAAAGGGTTGCGAACGATCAAAATTCACGGTCTGTTGTCACTTTCATGTGAACCTAGGATGAATACATACCTCTAAGTTGGATTCGACTCACATTTGATGGAATTCGGCATTTTTGTGGGGTCACCCCCTTCTTCGGGAGATTGTACTTGGTACGTGGTTAGTAAGCCTGGTTACAACCCACTTACCATGGTTACAAGTCTCCTATGTGGGTTGTAACCAGACTTACTGGGTTCCCGATTTAGTTCCTGTCCCTCCCACGTTGCCACAGAGGGTCAATGAAAGAGGAAGCGAATCTTCCAGGTGTCCGCCCACAAAAGCTATGTTTGTGGGAGGAAGAGCAGCCAAATAAGGCCTCAACAAGGCATTAGGGGGGTCCCCAGGGAGCGGAGAGTTGATATCCTATGAAACTCATGTCAAACGTGTCTGTGAGGTCGCTACAATTTGCCCAAAGATGAGTTTGGCTCCGGGTATGCCACCAGTCAAGGGAAATAAGTGCCTTCCCCGCAAACACGATATTTATTCCACCCCATTTTTTTTACAGCTCCAGGTTGCTTTTGTGTGGGTTTGTGTTTGGCAAGAAACGGCTGGAACGCAGCGTTTTCTCGATCCGGCAGGAGAGCGCGCTCCCGCCGGCAGACGAGATCTTGGTGACAAGGACCTGAGACAAAGCGTTGGTTGCATTGCACCTGGCATGTGTTTCAGCTCTTAGCTTCCCCAGAATTAGCTTCCCCTTTTCCTTTTTTGCTTTTTTGGGGTCCCCTTTGTTTTCCACTAACCAGACAAGTATATATGTATATGTATATATATATATATATTTGCTGGGTCCTATTTCCAGCCAAGTTAGTTTGTTGCTCCTCATCTTCAGTGAGGGCTGCAAAAGTGCTCCACTTTTCGGCGTACCTACCCAGTAGACTTGGGTTGGACATATTCAGATACCTCCCTGGAAAGATGCCTCTTTGCATCGCTCAGTCTTCCTGGGTCAACGTTGCGCATCTCACATCTTCGTCCGCAAATGAACATATGTGCATCCTGGGTCCACGCTTCGCTCACAAAAACCGTTCAACGAGTTCTAAAGATCGGGTTCCGATGGCTTGCATTAAAAACAGATCATGTGGGGGCTGATCAAAAGGTCCTGATGGGATGAGGGGAAAACCACAAAGATGATATTTCCCACCAAATGAGAAAAGTTACCCATGATCATTTGGGAGCATCCCATGTGCGTAGCATCCCAAAGGAGCCCATTTGTTCGGGAAGCAACCCTCCCTTGGACCGTGCTGCGCTTGCGCAGAGAGGAGAGTGCTTGGGGGGTTGCCAAACCAAAGTGGTCATCGGGAAATGAGTGAACAACTGGTTTCCATATTATGTTCATCTTGGAATCAACCAAACCAGGTCTCCTAAAATTTCAGCAGAAAAACAACAACAAACAACAAACACGCGGCGCATTCTTTTTTGGTGTCCACTTGGCTTCGATTCGGACCCAAAGCCAACCAGGACCTTCCTGGACGACAAGCAAGCGCAGCTCGTGGAGTTCGAGCGCTTCGGAGAAAACACAAATTTCTCGAAGCCTTCGGGGGGATTTGAGACATGGTGTGTGTTTTTTTTTTTTTTTTAATGCAAAGACCCCCCGAAAATGGTTTTTGTTTTTCCGCTCTTGTTTTTGTTCAACCTGGCAAAAAAGGGTAGCCTCGAAGAAAGACCCCCCAAATGGAATGACCCCGAAGAACAACCATCCGACGGATGGAGTTTTTTTTTTTGGCGGGAATCCCAACCCGGACTTGGTCATTCCCTACTGAGCAGGGGAGAAATTCGGCTCGCTTGCGCTAACTATCGATCTGGTTCCGGTGTCGATGTCGGGGTGTCGGTCGCGGTGTTCTTTTTGGTTGCCTGTCTTGTCAAGAAAAGGAGCCTCCAAAACGGCGCAGCGGCTTCTTCTGGGTCTGTTTCCCTTCACAACAACAAAAAGGGGGGGGGGGGCGACTCGGGCTTTTTTCAGGTTGGTTCGGGGAAGCAAAAAATAGACTGCAGCTAGTCAGTTTAGGGGGTCTTTTGTTGAGGCTATCCTTTTTGGTACCCTTGCGTAGTGAAGACAGACCAAAGGAGAAGCCATTGGAATCCCCCATTAGGCGCATGATTGGGGGTTGCCACAATCTCCTCTGTCTGGGTCCTCCAAACCAATCATTCCAGTGGAATCTTTCGTAGGAATCCAGTGACCATGTCTACAAGTTGGCACATGAGGGGGTGAGGGGGTTGATGCGCTTTACAGCGGTCCTTTCATTTACCCACCTTCAAAAGTTTCCATTTTGTTGGAACCTACCAGTAAGCTGCAACCCTGGAGGAACTCCAGCGACCCCTGTTTTAAGACCAACACCCATCCGATTTTTCATGTCCGCTTGAAGACAGGGGCTGGTTCCCTTGGCGTTTGAACTCCGACGTCCCAAAGGTCAGGTTGATGCTTCCGCTCTGCCCACGGACTTGAAACCCCAGGCTCTAAGGCGTTTAAAAGGGAGCCCTGGATTCCACATCGCGATGGCGACCCCAACATTTTGGAGCGAGAGGGGCAACAGGGGTGCGGGGAATTCGCGTGCAGAAGCCCTTCGGCTGGTTGTGAAAGGGTTTGCTTTTTTGATGGGGAACGTCCGAAATTTTGGGTGAACGGGAGACTAAAAGAAGGCCAAAGCGTGTGTGTTGGCTCCGACATGTTGAGAGAAAGCCTGGCAGACAAGCCCAAAAGGCCCGGAGTTTAGATTCGGTACGCTTTGCCGGCGCCAAAGCTTGTGTCAGATGAGGTTTGGCCAACGTTTCCTGATTTGTCTATCCATTTGGGGGACATTGGTTGTTCACCACTACCAGGGAACGAGTGCTAATTTTTCCCATGTCCTGGGGGGCATTTGGGATTTTCTCAAAGGGCTGTGGGTGCACCACCCATTTTAGTCTATTTTAGTGGACATTGGGATGTTCACTGGGGGTACGGGATTTTGACCCATGGCCAAAGAAGTGGACTCTTGATGTCCAAAGGGGCAAAAGGACACCAAAGGGCCATTCCAGCGGGCCGCTTCGTTCGGAGAAATAGCCCGAGGTTGAACAGCTGGTCCAAAGCAGCCCCGCTCAACTGGGTCCCCCGGTGCCCTTCTCTCCACATTTTTGGGTAAAATAGACTACAGACAAAAAAGGGTACCAGCTTATATTCTAACCTCTCAAATCTGGAGGACCTAGTAAACCCTTCAGTGGGGTTTACCCCTGCCCCCAAGACTTTCCGTTTATGGGGTACCCCTGCCCCAAGGGCGATTTTTGCACATCCGTGGCTGCAGGCGCCAAGTGGACGAGCTCTCCAACCAGCAGGAGTTCCAGCTGAGGCGACGGATGGAAAGCGCTCGCTCGCTTCTCTCACTCTATTCGTCCTGGGCATCCAGGGTTTGCCAACCCAAAAACAACAACCCACTCCCTCAGCTCGGGGGGTAATTCTTGTTGGTAGGGTTTCCGTTTCAGGAGTTGGGTTGTGGTTTCCCCGCTTCCCCCTGCCACTTTTGGCACTCCCGGAGACTTCCTGGAATTCATCTCGTTTTTGGTACACCGAAAGTTGGGGAACTGTTTTTGACCAATCCACTCGATCGGAAGCGAGCTGTGTTCAGGCAAACCATAAGAGTTTGCTCTCTCTTTTTTTGCCCGAAACCCATATTCCTGCTGGGACCCTCAAGTTGGTTCCGGCCAATCGGCTCATCTTAGAGATGGAGGGGGCAGCTGAGCGCCTGCGTTAATGGAACGACTTGATGCAGGTATGCTAGAATCCCTGGACACAATCCACTTAACTTGTTACAAGCGATTTGTTACAATCATTAATGTTGACTATGAATCATCCCCAGTTTATTAGGTGTCCCTGTTCCAAACGGGGAGGGCGGAACCAAACTAATTTAATCAAAGGGCGCAAACCCCAGGCCGCTTTCTAATGTGGTTTGAGTGATTCTTAGCTGAAGACCACATGTCCCAACTTGCCCTCCGAGCGAAAACGGTTGGTGCATGCTCTTGCCACTTACCAACACTGGGCAAGTCGGGTGGTCGACGTCCCAACCTGCAGCAGAAGGAGTCCGTCGCCCGTCGCCCGTCGCCCGTCGCAGGCATAGAGAAAGCTACCACAAGGAGGAGATGGTGGCCATGGACGAGAAGTACACCGCGGAGATCGATGAGGCCGGGGTGATGCGCCCAGGTCCGCAGAGGTTGGGTTTCTCGTGACCTTTTTCGGTTGTTGCTTTCATGGAGCGGCCCATGCTTCTTCCATTTGCTTAGGAATCTGTTTTTTTTCTAAAAGGTTTCAAAAGGAATTTATCACCTACTGGACATATGTTTTTCTCATTTTTTCCGGGGTCGTAACCAAATAGAAGATAATTTGGGCCAGGTGTTCAATAGCCCTGCGATTGCCTCAAGTTGGGGTGAGATATGGGGAGATTGCCTCACTAGATATGACCATGAATTTTAATAGGGAACCACCTTAAAAGTGATTGGTGGCCATGAATCCCCACCTAAATGATGTCCACCAAAGGGTCCCTTATTAAAATTCAGAGCCATATGGGCAATCCTTTCAGTTGCGATCCTGCCACTAAGCCTTTGGCAGAAAGCCTCGAGGATCAGGGTCTCTCTCTAGGGGTGTGAAGGTATGAGGGGGACGATGACTTGACTGCTATTGGGCAACGGATCTTTAGACGTTAACTGTTTGGTTGAAATCAAGTTGTGTTTTCCACTAAACCCCCAAGAAGTGAGACTTTTTGCAGGGGGGTCAACAGCAACTAAGATTCTATTGTGATTTAAATCTGGGGACCCAGGATTAAGCAGAACCTCTAGCTAATTTGCATCGGGAGTGAGACCATCTTGCAGGGACACCTGGATGCTGCCACAAAGGCCTTAATTGGAATGCAGTTGCGGGGCACATTAAACCAAATTAAGTCAGGATGATAGGGGGTAAGAGGATAAAGATGTGTAATTCTGTAGCCCTGTATTGTGTTTTGCTCCTTGTCGTTTAAATTAAAGCATTGGGAATTTTACCCCCCTTATATGGCACCATGGGTTGTTCTTATTTAGCCTCCTATAATATGAGGCCCAGTGCTTCCAGTTACCACAAAAGTGGGTCAGGAAAACCATTCAACACCAGGTAAAGGACTTTTGGGTAGCGACTATGGTGGCTTGCCTGGAAGCACTGGGAGGGGTTGTCTCCAAATTGTTTGTCCTTTTTGGTATCTCCTTACTGGGTGGCACGTTCTTCGTTTCGCTTCCGAAACGGGTCCGTGACAAGCGGCGGGAAATCTCTCAGCGATTGCCGGAATTTTTGATCAGCGATTCAGGGGGCTCCATGATCTGGTCCCCAAAAAAAGGCAATGATGTTCATGTTCAAAACCAATGGGATCCCATTTTGGGGAACCTATTTTAGTGGGGATTGTGATGTTCACTGGGGGTACGGGGTTTTGACACATAGCCATATGTCTTCTCCGAAATGGAAGCCTGGTAAATGGAAACAAGGACAAACACCTGCGGCCCCCTGGCGGTTTAAGTTTGTTTCATGCCGAAGTATAGATTTCCCCATGTTGTTGTTTTCTCTTTTTTTTTGTTTTTGTTTCCGCGGTTTTTCCATTCACCGGTCGCCTGCGAGGAGAGACAGAAGTACGAGATCCTCCGAGAGGAGAAGAACGATGCGGAGATGGAGGCGGAGGAGCCTTCCGGGAACATCTTGAGACGATGTGTGGCGAGGGCGATCTGAACTTGCGATCAAACAATTGGAAGGCTATCCCCAGAAATCCCCAGAGAAAAAAGAAAAGAAAACAGAGATATCCCAGAAATCCATTTAAAACACTCCCCATAAATCCCAAACAGACCAACTGGGGGGGTGGCTATAAATGTCGTAGAAGCCCATCTTGTACTGGTTTTTGTAGCACTCAGAGCGCTGACCTCTCATTCCAACATGATGTCCACTTCCCTCTTGGGCCTTTTCGAGTGTTCTTTGATTCGTTGGTTGCGTGTCTGTGGAATCACCATCTCCCCAAATTGACGTGTGGCCTTTGCAGACCCCAAATGGTGGTTTCCCCTGATGTCATTTCAAAGCAGCCAAAGGGGAGCCGAGCCTCCAAACAACACACACCCACATGTCGGGCGGAACTTACCCTTGTCGGGCTGTCATGTTAATTCGGAGGGAAGGGGCGGTTGGGTTTCTTGTTCCGGGACCTTCCCCGGTTAACCACTGGGGGGGGGGGGTATGAATCATATGGGTATGGGTCAAAATTAAAGCACCAGGAATTGGACCGCAGTGCATGTGTCCGTTTACCAGGCTTCCCTTTGGACCGATTTCTGACCAGCCACGCCGCTGCGGTGATGGGAGTCGGCCATGCTGCGCGAACCCAGAGGGCCCCTGAGACAGTCTGACCCATGCCGTAAAAATGTGGAACGGTTCCACAGGAAACGGGAGGGTCAACGGGTAAACCTGCAACCGGGTTTTCTTTGCTTCCATTTGTTTAAGATTTTGTTTTTTCCCCTTGTTGATTTTAAAAGGAATGTATCACTACTGGACATATTTTCTCATTTTTCCAGGGGTCTTAACCAAATGGAAATTTGCAAATGGGTTTTCCCCAAGCTCTCCCTTGGCTCGACACGCGAATCGCCACCAGTTTTTGCCGAGGAGAACATCAAGAGCCTGCAAGAGCACCACGCGAAGCAGGACCAGGAACTGGAGAGCACCTTGACCGAATTGTCTAAAACAACATCATCTCTTTAGTTCCCAGCCCCCCCCCCCAAAAAAAAAAGAGATGCACACACGCGCAATCCCGAAACTCAGCGGTACTTCCAATACTTTGAGCATGTTGAGTTTTAGGAACCCTCTGGCAAAAAAGCTAAATGTATACGTATATATATATATATACACGTATCGCAGGTTGATGGGCGTCGGTTTTGGGTGGCCTCATAAAACGGTGTTTGGTTGCAATATTGTCAGGTATTAAAAACAAAAGAAAAAAAAGAAAAGAGGACACAACATATGAAAGCTGTGGGGTCTTCCGATAGGCTCCGGAGTGGTGAAGGGAGCGGATCTGGGAAACCACACATGTTCTCGGGTTCCCCGATTCTAAGACAAGCCCAGCTGTTGTTTCTGACGTGTCAACACGAATCATGGTCCGTCGCGTCGGCTTTCTCTCTCACATCTCCGGGTTTCTCTCTCAACGCGAGTGCGCCCAGGTTCGTTCCAGTCAAAGATGATGATCGAGGTCGAGAAGTATCAGACACCTGGTTGCAGTGGAGAAATTGGATACCTGGATACCTTTTGGACACCAATGGCTTTTTACATCCTGCCCCATGTTGTTCACCTATGGTTCTTTGCAGAAACCACATATTTTCCGTGGGTTTCAGACCCATTTTCTGAGATAGAAGGATCCTTGAAGAGAATGGAGAGGGTACAGCTACATTGCTGGGTGGTCTAGTCTAAGACACTGGCAAACCAGGAAATGTTACGAGAAGCTCATCAAAAGCAAGTTTCCTCTTGGTGTCCTCTTCGTCTCCTCGTAACATCCAAAGCCAAATCCAAAAAATGGGTCCCCCCTACAGACAAAGCTGCACCGCCGCTTTCTTTTCTCGCGAGCGCGCGCGGGCGCGCGGGCGGAGGAAGCTGGCGCTGGAGCGAGAGACCATCCATCAGCGCTGGGGGGAGGAGCACCAGCGGATCCTTTCAGAGCACCAGCGCAAGGCGCCGAGAAACGAAGAAACGAAACGCATTCGAGGCCACAGAGGGGGGCTTCTGTTTCAGCCGAGTTGGGTTTCGAAGCTGAGAGCCGCTTTTCGGTGAATTTGGCATTTGAGTTGGCCGTTACTCTTTTTGGTTGCTTGTCAATCCACTCCATCGGAAATGAGTCTTTTTTTTTGCGGAGGGCTCCCTCAAAATTGTTCAGGTGTTAACTTGCGCGGGCCATGTCTTGCAGAACTGTGGGTGGCTCCGAAAGGCTCCTTCCGCAAATCTGGGGCTACAGCTCCGAAAGGGCTCGGTCTCTTGCAACCGCTAATTTCCTTCCAAAGGGGGAGCTTTCATGCGCGCTCCTGGCACAATCGCGTCCGGTCTTTTGCAGGTGGCCGAGATGCAGCGCGACTTCGAGGCCGGCTGGTTTCTCAAAGGGAATGTACTTTTGGACTGTTTCGGGTTAAAATACAAGGACCATCTTGGAAGGGTCCCCCCATTTTGGGGGTTCCCTCCCCCCAATCATGGAAGTTGACAGACGGGGTTTGGAAGTCTCGTTTCCGTGTGGGGAAGGCCTCTGCCACTTTCATGCTTGTTGGAAGGAGGGTAGATCCCCTTCTACTCGTAGTGGTTTTAAGCATCTCGTGGGCCAGTTGGAGGTGAGCTTTCTTGTTTCATGGCGATGTTTAGAGGGGAACCCTGTTCTTTGCGCTCTCGGCATTCTTATTTTCACACACCTGTCATTTCCCGCTAAAAAGTCTCGGAAGTTTTCTCATGACTTAAGCAAGTGGAGCGTGTTTTTGTTGAGTCTGGACATAGTGGCCAAGAGTCCAAGTTTCGAACGTGCCGCCGATGCACTCGCACCTTGGGGTCAGTCGTAAGCTCCCAAGAGGTGATTACTTTCTTTTGGCAGATCCCTTGCGCGAGGGAGCCAAGCGTCAGCTTGGGCTTTGGGTTGGTTTCGCCGATTTTACCTGTGAACGCGAACGCCCGATTTCTGCTTGGCAGGAGAAGCAGGCGGCGGACAAGAATGCGATCCAGCGCATCTTGGAGGCGATGGCTCGCGGGTTTGGTCTCCGCCGAAAAATGTGTGGGTGTTGCTTTGTGTGGGCTTGGAGTTGGGGTGGTAGACGGGAATCCAAAAGGAGAACCGAAGCCATGTTGGGTCGGCTAAACCAAAAGACAGGCACACATGGCTGTGGGTCAAGCATATGTACCCAACATGGACCCTTGGTAGATGGAAACATGGACTAAAACCTGCGGTCCCTGATGGTTTAATGTTGACCCATACCCATATGTTAGACTAAGTATGTGCCTACTTGCTCTGAGCACCTTATTTTTTGCGTACCCGCGGCAAAGACGGAATTTTGGGAAACACAAGCGAGTCAATGGAGCTTGTTCAGAGGGGGCATGATTGAAACTTTGATTTTCATGTTTACAGTCAAAGGCAAAATGTAGGTGTGTCTGTCTTTGAGGGCACCCATTTTGGGCCATGAAGTATTTGTTTCCCCCCCCCCGGCAAAAGGCCAAGACCTTGGGTCGGTGTGGAAGAGCCATTTCGGTCGATTCGATGCATCGCCCGATGCATTGGAAAAGGCCCTGTAGATGAAGGTTAAGGACTAGTCCGCCTTGCCAGACATGGGTGCCGCCTTTCTGGGATTCCTTACCACCATGGTTCTAGCCGATCCAACCATGGGTGCAGCCGCCTTGTTAGTTCCTTCCAAGGTAAAATGGTAGACGATTTTGATACCGAGCGGTGTTGATCATGACTCATGTGAGCCACAATCAACCCCGGGTAAGTGAAGGATAGTAACGGAAAGTCCCAGCCAGGATTAGTTGCGGCCGCCTTTGTACTTCTTTACCTTGGTTTGCGTACACCATTTTTATACCGAGCGGTTTTGATTGCGACTCATGTGCACGAAGAGACAAACCGCATCTTTTGGCAGGAGAAACGCCTCGCAGAGGATGTGCACGCAGAGACCATGCGCCAGCTCGAGCAGGAGTGATGGCGGCTGTTTTGGGGGACAAAAGTGGTCCAAAGGCGGCCGCAGACCATGGCTAGGCAGTGTGGCACGTGTTCGGCTTTAGTCACTTTTTTGGTTTCGACCATGTTAGGCGTAAACAGCACGTTTGGTTGCCTTTTTTGACCCATCACCCATCCACTGAGTTGGGGTCTCCTCGATTTCTTTTGCTTTTAAATTTGGTGGGGAACAGACGAAGTAGAGAAACTGAACCAAGTGAAGAGAAGCGGGCATTGATTGTCATTGGAAGCCAGAAAAAGGGCGAAATTGAGCACTGCTAGCACATTGGTGTGTCTTTTTCAAAGGGACCCCGAAAAAGTGGTTTCCTCTTGTTGTCCCCTTAAAATAAGCCAATTAAAACAAGCATGACATACGCATATGATCCTTCAGGACGCTATACTTCCTCACATCAACTAATTCAATTCGCTGCAATGGGGATCCCTCCCTGTACGTTTCCCTGGGTAATCGTGGAGCAATGGGTGGCAAACGTCTTTCGATTTGGTGCCTTTTTTGGTGGTACTGTGGAAGCACAAAATCTGTTCGCACCAGTTTGAAATCATGAGAACCCATAACCCATTCTTTGTTGGTACTTTACAGCCTCCGGCTCAGTCCGCCGACATTGTCCTCTCCCTTTTTTCCTTCTGCCTCTCTCCCTTGTCTCCCTTGTGTGTTCTGTCGTCCTCTCTCCCTCCCTCTGCTCCCCATCCTCCCCATCCCCCCAAGCCTCTCTATGCCCAATCTCCCTCTCTGGTATGTATGTATGCATATATATATATATGTCTGTCTGTCTGTCTGTCTGTCTGTCTGTCTGTCTGTCTGTCTGTCTGTCTGTCTGTCTGTCTGTCTGTCTGTCTGTCTGTCTGTCTGTCTGTCTGTCTGGTCTGTCTGTCTGTCTGTCTGTCTGTCTGTCTGTCTGTCTGTCTGTCTGTCTGTCTGTCTGTCTGTCTGTCTGTCTGTATGTATGTATGTATGTATGTATGTATGTATGTATGTATGTATGTATGTATGTATGTATGTATGTATGTATGTAATGTGTATGTATGTATGTATGTATGTATGTAATGTATGTATGTATGTATGTATGTATGTATGTATGTATGTATGTATGTATGTATGTATGTATGTATGTATGTATGTATGTATGTAATGTAATGTATGTATGTAATATAATGTAATGTAATGTAATGTAATGTATGTATGTATGTATGTAATGTATGTATGTATGTATGTATGTATGTATGTATGTATGTATGTATGTATGTATGTATGTATGTGTATGTATGTATGTATGTATGTATGTATGTATGTATGTATGTATGTATGTATGTATGTATGTATGTATGTATGTATGTATGTATGTATGTATGTATGTATGTATGTATGTATGTATGTATGTATGTATGTATGTATGTATGTATGTATGTATGTATGTATGTATGTATGTATGTATGTATGTATGTATGTATGTATGTATGTATGTATGTATGTATGTATGTATGTATGTATGTATGTATGTATGGATGTATGTATGTATGTATGCATGTATGTATGCATGTATGTATGTATGTTGTATGTAATCTATGTATGTATGTGTGTATGCATGTAGGTATGTATGTATGTATGCATGTATATAATGTAATGTAATGTATGTATGTATGTATGTAGATAGGTAGGTATGTATGTATGTATGTATGTAATGTATGTATGCATGTATGTATGTATGTAACGTATGTATGTATGTAATGTAATGTATGTATGAATAAATGAATGAATGTATGTATGTATGCATGCATGCATGTATGTATGTATGTATGTATGTATGTATGTATGTATGTATGTATGTATGTATGTATGTATGTATGTAATGTATGTAAGGAATGTAATGAATGTAATGTATGAAATGAATGCAATGGATGAATGTATGAAAGACGTAAAAAGCCGGCAGGGGGAATCGAGCCTGGGACCCCTGTTTTGCGACACTGGCTCCCCGAAGACTACGTTTAGTGGAACGTCATCAAATTGCCGCGCGGTACGCGACCGAAAAACCATGCGTATTTGACGTGTCCCGGGGGGGGACTAAGGGGGGGGGTATCCTCTATCCTCTCTTAGGTATCCAATAGTCCTCTCTTAGGTATCCGACACGCCGAGCAATGTCGGCGGATTTACAGGGGAGTCATATCATTCCAGGGATTCTGAGGTGGTGCAGGATTTCGTCCATCCACAGTATGAAAAGGAAACCAACAGGAAGAACAGACCATTTTCTGAGTTCGATTCCTAAAAAGGCACCCAAATTGAGCATTTGGCGAAGGGGTTTTTGTGATGCCCTACTCCCCCGCTTAAAGCAAACAGATAGCTTGATAGCTGCACGGATGGCCTTGAATCAACCTGCGCAGGATTCCAGCTACATGTCTGTGGAAGAGATTGAACTTCAGCTTTGTTGAAGATTTTACTTGGCGAGTGTTGTTCGGGGTGTAAGATTGGACATGAGAACTCTGCTTGAATCGGACCGAAAGCCATCCATCCCTCCTTTCAGGTGAGATTCCCGGATGGAGGTTCCTCATACTGCAGGATATGCCTAGGAGAAGCCCCTTCATTTGAACCTGCATTTTTGGGTGCACAGACCCCCAGACAGCCAGTGCTCATTTTTCCACTTGTTTGGGGGATGCTTTCCCTTTGAAGTCAACTGCCAAAAAAAGGTGCCTCCTTATTCCTATGGAAATCCTTTGGGGGCTGGGAGCCCGTTGGGAAAACATAGGAGTTTGCCCCAAACCTGAAGATGATTCCCTCTTTGAATGAGACACCAATGAATCATCAGGTCTGTTTGCTTTCACATCCCCATCCCCATGGAATTGGGGGAGGTGACCTCCTGGAATTCCATTCCATTTCATTGTCCCTGATTGTGAAGACTTGATAACTGCCTTTCAATGGTACAGATGTTGAAATGTCCCACAATGGACTGACGACTGCCTGTTGACGACTTGTACAATAACATGGAAAGGTCTCGGGTCTCGGAGTCTCGGAGTCCGAGTTGCCGGTTTGGCGGTTGAAAAACGCCTCCGTGGGCCCGCAGCCAAATAGACCGCCACCTTTTAGGGGGAGGCAACTTGCAAAACGAGGACACAGACCGGGAGATCGAGGAGCTGAAGGAGGATAAGGACCGACCTTTTTTCGGCTGGCCGCGTGCAGCCAGAGGAGTCAGCAAAACCTGTGTTCACGCACGCATTTGGGGGAAAAACAATTACCGGTTTCGTATTTCCGGTTGGGGAGTTATAGCGATTTGCCCAGATGATGGTTAGTAGGGAGACGGTACCCTTGCCAGAAACAGGTGCGGATATTTGCGCGGTTGATCCTTTACCAGTTTTGGCTGGACTCAGGTCGGTTTGTGACCTCACATGCCCTTCCATTTTGTCTCACTTGACTTATCTCGTACTATGGCCCTTTTTGCCAGAGTTTCGCTGGGGAGCGGGGTAATGAAGCTATATCCCTCCTTTTCCGCCCAGACACAGATTAAGCCAATCCTGGGTTGAATGCCAATCAGGAAAACCCACCAGTTATGCCCGAAAACAAGGGTTGCCCAGAAGTTGGGTCCCCAATTTTCGTCTTCCGCTGGAAGCAAACTTGCCTATCTTTCTTGAGAAAAGCGTCTCCATGCATTTCGAACATCGAGCACGCACAAAAATGGCATGTTAAGAAATCAGACTTTGGACCCGGAATCTCCCGTCCTTTCCCAAAGTCCAGAGGTGCATTTCGGGATGTGTAGTGTGTGCTTAGTTTGGGGGGACACCATTTTTGTGTGGGTCCTTAGTTTTGAATGCACGCCGGCACCTAGCGTCCAACACACGAGGCTGCCCTTTTACTGGGTGCCTCACGGCGGCACACGCATTTTTGTGGGACACCTCTTGAGAATCAATTCCACTCATTTTGTTCGGCAAACCAGAGTGACCACGGCAGCTCTTGGGTCAACTTTAGCAAGACATCCTCGAAAATACAACTTAGAGCCTAACGTGAGTTTGAGAGCCTTTTCCAATGTCCCTTAAAAGTGACCCAGTCCATGTCCTCTCTGGTTTGCTGCAGCCCGCTTGCAGAAGTCTTTGTCAATTGTCACCGCCTTCACGCATCCAGCAATTTTGTTTCGGCTGTCACATGAGCAAGGGTCAAATGAAAAGTGTCATATACTGTAGCAATGGGGATGATATTGGATCTACTCGCCAAGTTGTCATTTGGGCGGGTCCTGTAAAACCACCCCGAGCCCACCCACCGTGGCTCATTCCCAGCCTTACAAGCAAACCGTATGGTTGTTGAACATCCTTACTCCCTGACCATCCCAAGGAAAGATTCGGAACCTTCGATCTAGGTAGAAACCTGGTCGATATTGAGAGATGGGGCTGAATTTCCTTTGAGTGGTGTGAGTCGGATCACTTTTGCCTCCAATGAACCTCACTTCCTGATTTCCTGGACTCAACTGGCACTTTTCGGGGGTTGGACCATTCCAGCGGCTTCACAAAGCGTTTGGTTTCTTCGAAGGCCAAGCCACTCGATCGGAAGTGAGTCGAGTAGTCCGGGCGCGGAACCTGGCGATAGGAGAAGCGGCTCAAGGCGGAGCGGGACAGCAAGGTGACCTTGAGAGGCCAGGCGGGGATCCACAAGCGCAACCACGAGGAGCCAACGGGGGGCATGGGGGAGGAGGGGGGGGTGGGGTGTGATGGGGGGGGGGATGGCACAAGCCTTTGTCCAAATCCAACTCCAAACATGTCCCCTTCGGAACAAAACGAAGCAAATGGCATTGGCGAAGTTGAAGTTGGGAGCCCGTGGAAAGCGGTTGGACATGAATCCTCGGCACCTTCAGCCCCTGAACAACTCACACCCGTCGGACCGTCGGACCGCGGCCTGGCTTCAGCCCCGTCCTTTCACCGTGCCAACTAAAGCGCTTTCCATCCGCCCGGTTTCGTCGCCATGCTCCGGAATCTCGCGATCCTAGCGCCTGGGCAAGGGTTGCTGCCACACGTACCCAGAGTTTTTGGGTGTGAGGTATGAACAGAGCACCCCCCCCAAAAAAAAAAACACAAAGATATTCACCATGGAAAGCCTAGGTTCAAATATATACCCTAGCGAGTATTTGGAGAGGGCTTGAGACGAGATGTTTGGCCCGAGTGAATCCAAAGTCGATACCCAAGAAGCTATCCAAAATTTGTCGGTTTCTTTTTGGTTTCCTTTTGAACACACCAAACCTGGCCTTTTCTTGATCCAGGATCATTGCCTTTGCCGGTGTCCCTTTCCTTCCCCGGGCAAAATGTGCGAGGTTACTCCAACGGTTGGAACCCGAGTTTGAACTTTCAGGCGGTAGATTCCATACACAGTCTCCCACGTTGCCATGGCACCTGACAGGGGGTCAGCGGAAATTGTTGTTCCCGGCACCCTTCAGGTGCCATGGCGAGGGGTAAGTCGCCCAAGAAATTGGGTTTTTCCAAATCACCCAAATCCGAAGGTGTTTGATTCTTTGTGGGGTCTGCAAACACGTTACCTTTAAATCAGAGCCCTTGGATGTATTTGTTTGCAACTGTCTTTTTTCTTCTTTTTTTAATGTGTGTGTAGGTGGCTTTGCTTGCTCTTTACATACACATATATACTTATATGTTCCAGCCCCCAGGCCGCCCACCCCCCCGGCCTCCCCCACATCATCGGCATCAACGGAGGTGCTGCTGGCAATGCTGGGGATGCTGTCCAGTACCCCCAAACCCCGACACCCCCGCCCCCACAAACCTCAACCCTAAACCAAGCCTAAACCAACCCTAAACGAACCTTAAACCAACCCTAAACCAACCCTAACCCCCCCCAAATTATACCTCAACCAACCCTAAACCAACCCTAAACCAGGCACCAGCGCCTAGTGGGTTCGCATCGCCGACCCAAACAACCCTTTCACCGCCCTCCAAGGCCAGCCAAGCTTGTCTGGAATGGCTGGGTCGTGCCTTAAGCACTCTTCCATACAGCCTTTGGCAAAGTTGCATGCAAGCCCTGGCAGCCGCAGATTTTGGAGCTTGCCAAAATCCAAAGGCCGGGCTATGAAGGTTGGCGTACAGCCGAAATAAGCAAGCAATGCATTGCTCCAGCGTTTTGCGAGGGAACCAGCTTGACCAGTTTGGTCTTTATAAGTTGGTGTTATAAGCGAAATTTATCTTCCAACCGCACAAGGCAATGCTGGAATTCTGACTTCTTCCAAGAGATCGGCGCGGCTAAACCAACCCCAAACCCACCCCAACCACCCAACCACCCCACCCCACCCCCCACCCCACAAAGGGGGCCTGGATCATGTACATGTGTATATATATATATACACAGACGCATATGCGTGTAGGTAAACATGGTTTTGCAATGTTTCTTTTTCCCACACGTTCATTTCCATGTCGAGTCCAGGTTGTCATTTTCGAGTCAGGTTTTGTCCTTTGGTCTGTAGACCCTGAACGCTTTCCACACCACTGGTGATCTCTTCCAAATGGGCGTGCCCTGTAATTCTTATTGGCCGTTAGGGTGTGGCTAAAAATTGAAGAGCTGGGGCATCAGCAGGTTATAGTCTTTGGTTGCATTTACAATTTTGCCATGTGCACAATGTTTTGAGCCACGGCCATTTAAGCCGGTGCTCCTGCTGCTTGGTTTCACAAAGGTTACAGTGAGGCCTAAACCAACCATAGCCATAGCCATGGTGCAGAAGCAAAGTTTTGGTGGCTGCTCAAATGGACATGCCCTCAAACCAGGGTATTTTACCGCCCCAACGCCATACCAATATATGGCTTACGGGCGGGGTATATTCGTCTTGATACAACCCTTTTTGCCGATTGTTATTCTGGGATAGCCCCTCTCCGGTCGCAGAAGTTGGCGAGACTATGCGAGAATCGTTCTTTTGGTTGCAAGCTCCCAACCCTGAAGACCCGACAGTAGCAGGTTTGTCTTGTAAACCACCCAATGAGTTGGTTCCTTTGTTTTTCCTGATGCGACTTTATGTGAGGGCCATCACAAGCAAACCAACCTGGAGGAGTTTTTTTTTGATACATACCGAATCTTCCATTTACAGGACATTTTCTTCCAGGGCACTCAAGCAAGCAAATGGAATGGGTCAATCCTGGCTCCCACGGTTGCCCAACTCATTCCCAGGTCCTTTGGGTTGATACATGGCCAGGCACACACCCACACGCAGACCTTCAGCTGAAGGAGGTTCCACTTGAGGTGCTAGTTTGGATATGTCCTTATATGTCCTTCTCAACCGAGCTCGCCGGGTAGCTGCTCACCCAAGTGGGGCGCCCGAGGTATCCTTGTTGGTTGTTTTGGTCGAACAATAGATGGCGATTCCTGGTTTACCTGGTGGTTTAATCAACCAGGGCCATCGAAATTTCCCCTAAAAGGACACCTCTTGTTTTGGTTGGTTGCCACGTGTCGGCGTTTTTCGCTTTCTCAGGAGACGTGCGGGAAAAAAAACATGGTCAGGTTGACCCCCCCAAAATTGCCAGAGAGCTTGTAGTGAGCTCACCGAATCTGGGAAGGAGCTAGTGACCTCCTCTCGCCGCCTCGCAAGCCCAAGGTCGCCCTTCCTTTGGCCAGCGCCGGCGCGCCTCACTGCCCCGACTGCGTGGCGGAGGATGCGCAGGCCGACGGAGGCGCGGCCAGATCAACGGAGCGCCCGGGTTTTTGGACGCCTAGAAGGGGGCGGCTGGTACGTCACTTGGTGGCTCCCAGCCATCCGGTCCCTTAGCTTTTTAGATCCTTCTAGTGTTTAGTGGCAGTTTCCATTTAAACCACTAAAAGTTACACTTTTAGCGGGGGGAATCTGAGGGCAGCCCAGGTCGGGTAAGTGGTGCTCGTACGCCTGGTGAGATACCCCACTGCCATGGTCACCTTCGTTCAGCAGGGTATCTCACCAGGAGGTACCCTGTAAGTGTTTGTTGCCATGTGCTGATCGGGCAACCGTTCCATTCTGGGGTTGCCAACTATGTTTGACCCACACCCAAATAGTGGCCCCCTAAACTGTCCAATTGCTGAAAATTCCCCAACAGCTGATTCATCTATTGATTTGGTCTCTGCCCAGATAGGCTTGATCGGGGTGTTTTGAGGCAGGGTTCCGGAGGGTTCGAAAAGGTTCCAGGGCTGTTGGGATCTTATTTGTTCCCCTAGTGGTTTAAAGGTGAATCTACCACTATTGGAAATATGATTATTTGTTCCAGGGACTTAGGCGTATGGAGGAAATGTTGGGTTGCCTTTTGGTTTCCTTAAACCAATATCCAAAAGGGGTCCACCATTTTAAGAAACTTCTTTTCTAGCCGTCCCCTTTTTCCAACTTGCTGGTTCTCAGCAGGGAATGAGACCCCTATAAACCGTCCCTGGCGGTTCTCGGGTTCATTCCCAACACCCGGAACCGTCATTCCCTACGCACAAGCAAAGGGAATGGGGAATCAATCCTTCCGGCTTCTCTTCAAGAATAACCTTGCCAATAAGCCTTTGGGGCGGATTCTCGTTTTTGTTTCTTTTCTCGAACGAAGGACCGGATCTTGGCGAAGGGTATGCACCGGGGTCCCAGCCCATCCAAGCTGAATGGATTCAACGGCACACCTTTTTTCAATCACCGACAGACCGACAGACTCGGGAAACCAGCTGACACTCGTATTTTTGGTTCCCTGAATTCTCCTGCCGCGCCAGCAGCACTCACTTCCCGAGTTCCATGGACTTCGCGCGCTTCGGGTTTGGACCGTTCTTGGCAGACGAACAGCTCGGTGACCGGAACGGAAGGTTTCACGTGAATTGCTAGATCTGATTTTCTCGGTACCCCAGTTGGGTATGCTAACTGATTTTTACTCCTTTGTTATCTTAGTCGGTGGATTAGATATGAAGCACGATGAGAAGAAATACTGTGGATGGACGAAATCCTGCAGCACCTAAGAAACCCTAGAATAATGATTGCCCTGTAAATACCAACAAACAACGGTTTCGCGTGGTTTCAAAGCGGTGCAGGATTTCGTCCATCCGCAGTATGCTTCTTTTCTTTTGGTAAACGTAGGAGTTTGGTTTTTCAGCTGACGGACGGGCGAAACCCACTCGAGGTAACCTGCTGCTCCAGAACCAGGTGGCGGCCCACAAGGCCAACGCCTCCCAGGAGTCGAGTCAGAAGTCATCGGAAGTCGGGGCAACGGGTCGCAAGTCGCCGAGAATCTCCACTGGCCGCATAGCCATAGGCAATGTACTTGTACATGTGTGTTTATGTCTATATATATATAGATTTGTTTGGGGGGACCATCCTCATAAGCCCTTTTGGAAGGAAACCCTTGTGGGTCGAGGATGCTGAACACCCAGCACGGGGTCAAACCGCTCACAACCCCGAAGAGAGCTGAGGTTGGAAAGCAGGTGGTGAAACACTGGGGATTCAACTCGGAACACATTCAAGAATCAAAAGGAAGCCCAAGCGGGAACGGGAAACCAAGACAGTTGACAAATAAACCGAAGGTTGGACATGCGGGGACATCCAACAGATTTGATGTTGGACAACAGCTGGGGTTCAAACTTTGATCAAGCATTGTTCAATCCAAACATGTAACCCCAGGGGGAGGGGAGACGAGGAGACGGGGAGGAGGGAGGAGGGCTGGGTGGTGCGCGAATCGGCTCGGAGGTTTGCTTCC